AAACCTCCCCGTCTCCTCTTCCTCTTCCTCTTCCTCTCTCTCTCTCTCTCTCTCTCTCTCTCTCTCTCTCTCTCTCTTCTTTTTTCTTTTGGTTTTCTGAGATAAGGTTTCTCTCTATAACAGTCCTAGCTGTCCTGAAACTGGGTCTATAGACCAGGCTGACCTCGAACTCATTGAGATCTAACTACTGAAGCTGCAAGCTAACACAAGAGTACAACATTCCCGTCTTCTGTGTTCTCTACATGACCAGCACCTCTTCCCTGAAGGAATGGTTTCAGTTGGCTTTATAGTTGTCATATTTCATTCCTATTTTGTGGATACAGATAATTTTTTGCCTGTTTGTTTTTCAAGGCAGGGTTTCTCTGTGTAGCCCTGGCTGTCCTGAAACTTACTTTGTAGACCAGGATGGCCTTGAACTCACAGAGATCCACTCCCCCCTCTTCTCTGGTGCTGGGATTAAAGGTATATACTACCACCACCTGGCAAATAATATTTTATTTTCATTGGTTTTGATTTTTTTGAGACAGGATCTTCTGCATCTGAGGCTGGCCACCAAATCAGTATGTGACTGAGGACGACCTTGAATTCTTTAGCAGTTTCACTTAATTGACTTAATGTATTTTGTGTGTGTGTGTGTGTGTGTGTGTGTGTATACACGCGCGCGCATGCGCACGTATGTATGCATGTTAATTAATGTCCTATTATTGTGAAAAGACACCATGATCAAAGCAACATGTAAAAGAAAGCTATTAATTGAGGGGCTTGCTTACTAAAGTTTCAGGGTTAGTCCATTTCCATTATGGCAAGAAGCATAGCAATAGGCATACAGGTATGGCCCTGGAGCAGTAGCTGAGAGTTTAGATCTGATCCACTAATTGGAAACAGAGAGAGAGAGAGATCAAGTCCAAACTGGGCCTGGCATGGGCTTGTGACACCTCAAAGCCCATCCCCAGTGACACACCTCCTTCAACATGGCCACACCTCCTAATCCTTCCTAAATAGTCCACCAACTGAGAACCAAAAATTCTAATATATGAACCCATGAAGGTCATTCTCATTCAGATCACTGCAGGGACTTTGTCTCTCTCTCTCTCTCTTTCTCTCTCTCTCTCTCTCTCTCTCTCTCTCTCTCTCTCTGTGTGTGTGTGTGTGTGTGTGTTTACAAAAGCATGGAGATCAGAAGACAACTTTTTGCCTTTGCTTTTTTTTTTTTTTTTTTTCTGAGATTGGACCCTTCTAGAACTCACTATATAAACCTGGTGGGCCTGGAACCCACAAGAGATCCATCTGCCTCTGCCTCTCAAGTGATGTGATTAAAGGTGTGCACTACCACAACTTACTAATATTTGTTTTCTAGCTCTGTTTTGAATATAGTCAATAGGATTCTAAACTAGCCTTTCTGTATCTGTACGTTTTTGTGGGTGCATGTGGAGACCAGCAGTGCACCCTGGGCAGAGTTCCCAGGCACTGTTAATTTTTTTCTTTCACTAGTCTGGAATCCCCTAAGTGCTAAGTCGGCTAGGCTGGCTGGTCAGCAAGCCCCAGGGATCTACCCGTCTCTACTTCCCAGCACTGAGATTTCCAGCGCACATTCCACTCTGAGGCTTTTTCCCCTGTGGGTTCTTCAGATGGAACCCAGGTCCACAAACCTGCAAGGCAAGCACTTCCAACTGAGCTAGCTCCCTAACCCAGCCTCATTAAGAATAAATCCCTTTGTTCTGCAGCAACTCATCCTCTTGAATATACCCCATTCTACAGGACTTGCAGGCATCGGGGGTTCTAGATTTCATTTTTATGATTAGACTGTGAATTCTCAAAGGGAGTAAAACAAAAAAAGCTAAAGGAGACGTGAAAATATTTTAGTGATTTAATTTGTTAATTTGGTGGTGCTAAGGAGTGAGCCTAGGCCCTCCCCCACACTAGGGAAGAGCTGTACCCTGGATCCACACACTCCCAGATTCCCTCCCCACACATTCCACTGTGATAATAGTCTAGAGCAGTGGTTATCAACCTTCCTAATGCTGTGACCCTTTAATACAATTCCTCGTGTTGTGATGATCCCCAACCATAAAATTTTTTTCATTGCTACTTTATAACTGGGCTGGGGGGAAGGGGAGGGGGGCAGGAAGGGAGAGAACAAGGGAATCTGTGGCTATTATGTAGAACTGAATAGTATTGTAAAATAAATTTAAAAAAATAAGTTAAAAAAATAAACCTATAGTGAGAAACATTAAAAAAAATAATAATAACTGTGTAGCTGGAAGACTTTCTGTGTCCTGCCTGGCCCGTGGTCGGGACAGATCTCTCACCCACAGTCCCGCAGCCTTTTATAAAACAATCACACAGAGGCTTAATATTATTTATAACTGCTTGGCCATTAGCTCAGGTTTATTACTGACTAGCTCTTACACTTAAACTCAGCCCATTTCTGTTAATCTGTATGTTGCCACGTGTTCCGTGGCTTTACCTGTGTGCCACTACATGCTGCTCCCTGGATGGTGGGCTGGCATCTCCTAACTCAGCCTTCCTCTTCTCAGAATTCTCCTCTTCTGCTTAGCCTACCTATACTTCCTGCCTGACTACTGACCAATCAGTGTTTTATTTATCAACCAATCAGAGCAATACACACTCACAGCATACAGAAGGACATCACCCATCATAACTGTAATTTTGCTAGTTATGAATAGTATTGTAAATATATGTGCTTTCCAATGGTCTTAGGCATTCTCTGTGAAAGGGTCATTTCAACCTACACAGGTTGAGAAATGCTGGTTTAAAGGACCTTCATATCATCAAACTAATCTGTCAAATTTCAAAGTCAAGTTCTAAAGATCCAATTTCCTAGATGTTTTCCTTTCCAATCACAGATGCTTAAAACACTTAATTTAAGCGAGTATCGTGTGGTCTTTGTTTGTTTGTTTGTTTGGTCTCATGCAGCACAGGCTGGCCTTAGACTTGCTCTATAGCCAAAGATGGTCTTGGACTTCTGATTCTCTGCTCTTCATTTACCAAGTCCTGGAGTGTTACAGGTATATGTCACCAGGCCAACTTGGTACTTGTTTTTTTTTTTGAAACAGGAGTCCAGGCTGGTCTTGAACATACAGTAACTTCTCTGCCTCGGCTTCCCAAGTGCTGGGGTCATAGTTGTGATTCACTCCATCTGACGGCCTTTCTTCTTTTTGTATGTGCATATGTGAGTGTAGGGTGTAAGCACACATATATGTGGAGGAATGCATACCTGTGTACAGTGTCAGAGGATGCTGGATGTCCTGTCCTACTACTCTGTGCCTTCTCTAAGACCATGTCGCAGTGAATCTGGAGCTTGGCTGGCAAGCAGCAACCTCCAGCAGCCATTCTGTCTCTGCCTTCCCAACAGAGCTGGCATTATGGACGTGCACCACCATGACCTGCTTTTTACGTGGGTTCTGGGGCTTTAAACTCAGGTCTTTTGTAGAGACCCACAGAGGTTTCCTAGTGAGACCTTACTCAAGGCCCAAGAATCTGAGCTTGTTTTACCCAGCAGGGCTGCATAACGGGATGATTTGACCATGGAGCGTGGAAGGGTCTACACTTGGCTGTGCAGTGTGCTTTGATCTAGCAAGGGGGAGGTCTTTTGCCCCACCCCTTGGCATTGTTATAAAAAGCCCTTTTGAAGAGGCAGAAGGGGCCGATGTGTTTTGATCCAGATCCTCCCAAAGCTATCCTGTGTTTCTATCTTTCTCTTCTTCACTATCTTTCTATCTAAAAGTTTAGTATTCCTCTCTCCTCCTCATAGGAGCCCTTTAAAAGGTTGGAGCTGGCCTCTCAACAGTCCTTATGCTTACATAGAAGTAATTTTACCCATTATCTCCCTAGCCCTTTTTAAAATTTATTCTTGAAGTTCAAAGTCTTTTGCTCTGAAATGTTAGGTTCTATTAAATCTTTGCAGAGTCCCAGGCTTCCACACTGATGCTGGGAATCTGAATATCTGGAGGAAGTGATGCATAAGTGCTCTTCCTAGCCTGCATCCAAGATCATCTAAGGAAAACTGACCAGGTTTCCATGTAGCAGAGGCGGTTTCCAAGGTTGGTCCTAACCACAGCTCTGCCATTTGTATTCTGCTAGTTTCTGGGACACTCTCTTTCAAGAAGTAGACTCCATGTCACCTACGCTTGAAATGGAGTGGATGTTTTGTTGACCAGTCGATTGTGATGCCACGAGGCCACTGGCTTTCACAGCTGGGTTAAGAACAGCATCACCATCGCCTTCTACTTTTGCATACCAGAATTCCTGCTCTCTTGGAGCTCAGCCACCTGGTTGGGGGGATATTCAGGAAACCCACTTGAGAGGAACTAACTACCAGCATCAACTTGCCAGTGCTGTGAGATGGCTTGGAATTGGCATTTCTGGCCATCATCAAGCTTTCCGGGCTGGTAAAGCATGGGGCAGAGTTATATCTTCCTTGTGGATCCCAGGGAATACTACAGATTTGTGTATTTCTAATCTTATGGTGGCTCTATCTTCCTACAAGGGTACATTCTCTTATGCTTTTTTCTAAAATATTCTGAAGAGCTCTTTAGGGTCATTAACCTTCTGGGTTCCTTTAAGCACAGAACCAACCACTCCAGATTTCTGGTTACTTGAAATTCTTGTTTTCAAGTTCTCATCATTACTCCTCAGCCTTCATTTTTTCATTTAAAAGGAGCTGGGGGGGATGATGTGGGCTGGAGAGATGGTTGCTCTTCCAGAGGTCCTGGGTTTGGTTCTCAGTATCCACCCACACGGTGGTTCAGAACTGGAGTCTGTAACTCCAGTCCCAGGGAAATCTGATGTGATCTTCTAGCTTAACACATTAGACTGCATCACTGTGTCCTTTTCACAGTGGACTCTTGAGTTCAGGAAAGCATGATTCACCTTTTCTGTAGTCTTCTGCTGTAACTCTGCACTAAGCCCTGTCCTTCAGGCATTCATTCAGCATTTACTGTTTGTGCTGGGAGCCATTGTTAGGTAAGGCCTGTGTTTTGGCAGTCCTGCCTGGGAAAGCAGCTGCACTGTGGTGCTATAACCTTAGAAAACCTTAACCCCATCTAAACGACACTTTAAAATGGAAGCAGCAACGTCTCCGTAACAGTCTCATGAGCGGGGCTGGAGAAATGGCTCAGCAGTAAAGAACACTCCTTGCTCTAGCAGAAGACCCACATGGTGCCTCACAAGCACCCTTAAGTCCAGTTCAGATGGAGCTGGCTCCTAAAGGCGCCAGACTCATGTTGGTTAGTATGGTCAACTTGATAGAATCTAGGAAAAGGGCCTCTGGGCATGCCTGGCGGGGATTGTCTTGATTTAATGGAAGTACGGGTACTTAATTGTGGATGTGACCTTGGCTGTATAAACGGAGAAAGATGAGCACTAGCAGGCAAAATTCCTGATGATGGATTGGATGTGACCAGCTGTGTGTTCCTGCTGCTGTGACTATACCCCCCTTACAAGGGACTGTAACCTGTAATTTTTGAGCTGAAATCAACCCTTTTTCCTTTAAGTTGCCTTTGTGGGGTACTCGATCGCAGCAATAGCAAAAGAAATGAAAACACCCAGCAGCCTGGCGGTGGAGGCGCGCGCCTTTAATCCCAGCACTCGGGAGGCAGAGGCAGGCGGATCTGTGAGTTCGAGGCCGGCCTGGGATACAGAGCGAGATCCAGGAAAGGCACCAAAACTACACAGAGAAACCCTGTCTCGAAAAACGAAAAAAAAAAAAAAAAAGAAAGAAAACACCCAGTAATCTCTTTAAGGGCCTTCACTCTGCAGGCAATCCAACTCTTTCAGGGATCACTGAGTGCTCCGATCCTTCAGGTGGATCACTCTAGTTAGGAAATAAGATTGTTGGGCTCAGCTGTAGGTGGTGGCACAGGCCTACACTCCCAGCACTCAGCCGGCAGAGGCAGGAGAATCACGAGTTCCAAGGCAGCTCAAGGGGTACAGTGAGGGAGCGCTCCAGGCCGGACCGGGTTCCATAGCGAGCCCTTTCTCAGAAAAACCAAACCCAAAGGATAAAAATCCCTGCTAGGCTCAAGCATTTAGGTTGCATTCCTTTGGCCTCCTCCCTTACTTTCTCCAAATCCTCTTTTTTTTGGGGGGGGGTTGGAGGGGTCAGAGGGGGTTCCCTTTTTTTTTTTTTAAATGTGAAATTTAAACACTTAGAATTGTCAGGGCCTTGATCACTAGCGAGTTCCCCAGGTTGAAGCTTGGCCATCGGGCGCGCAAACCGCGGGGGACATTGAATGAACAAAACCGACCGAAGGAATGAATGGGCTTACGTCGGGGGGCGGGGCCTTTGTTACGTCGCCCACCGGCGCAGGCGTGGTCGCACGGACGCCGC